ACAAAAATAAATGCCATGTGCCATAAAAATTATTATATTATTCACCTTTTGTAAAACATTATTATTCTTTTCTGTTAGAACCACGTTTCTTACAAATTGTTAAAATTATAATATATTATTTGTCAAACCTTAATAAAATTATTATTCGTTGTCAGATGCCATTATTATTACTATTTAAACGTATTATTTTTGCACGTTCGTGCGGGTGTGAAATACATATATTATTACGATTACCGTAACTTAATTATTATCATTTAAATAGTGTAACCTATCCCAAAATTATTGAATTTTTGTTATAAATCTTTGACGTTTATTCGTCACTGCGTGTATAAAAACCTATCAGTCCTACTGGCGAGTCTCACGGCTTACATGCGGTACGGCTGGTAGGTCACGGTTATAATGTCTCGTAGAACCGTGGGTAAGTTTTTAGAGCCTCAAAAAACTCAAAACTCTCACAGTCTATTTATAACATTGAAACTTTATTTTCTCAAAATTTTAAACCAAACTGCCGTTTGAAATTGTTAAGTTTTGTAGTAACTATAGTAAGCTAATATTAAAAAGCTATACAAAATGGTTGTGAGGTATGCATTTCACGTATTTTATTATATTAAATCCACTGCCTAATAATATGTTTCAACAAGTCGTAGTTTTCATTAGTTAATAATATAATATTATTCAACCAATGCAATTTGTTTTGTGAAATAATTATTTGAAGTGTCTTGCTGAAGCCCGAAAGGGGTTCGCCATGGTGAGTATATTCAAGTTTACCCACATCAAACTAATTACAATTATAGCTRATTGTTATGACTTASGTATGGCTGATTTGTGGTGGAAGTGGTTTGTTTTACTTTTGACCTAGGGGATTAAAATTAGTCCATTACAGGAATTGTTGAGTTAGTACTGGAAAATATTTTGTTACTACGAACTTATTATTTATATTACTTGTTACGTATTATACTAGATGAGAACATTATATCGGGTCACATCGATTGATTTCTTTTCTGTGCGAATAGTTTAAACGTATACATTTTATTTGTTCAAGAGATATATTTTTTTGCTTATAGTAACTGTCTTATGATTTTTCCATCTGTATGGTTGTTGATCGATCAGCCATTTTGTCCGAACTCTACTGCCTACCATCAGTTCTAAGAAAAAGCCCTACGAAAAACGTATTATTGTGATTAATGGTCGTATTAAAAACGACACAATATATGCGACCGTTATATTCGTTAAAATTGTCTGCGATACACCATAGCTAATTCATTGATTTGTTGAATATTGATATTTTATAATTAACTCTAATTCATTTTCGACTTCTACAGATTAAAATACAACTTAAAAATTTCAGCTATTAAAAATCTCAACCATTTTATTAATCACATTTCAGATTCTAAACGTAGGTATGGGGTTCTGATTCATTGGTTTTACAATTAAATGTATTTTTATCTGTGTCATTAATTGTTACCTTTTTAAGTGGTGCCTAGAGCATAACCTACATGTTGAATGGGGTTTTTTTTTTATTAGCTTTTAGTATCAACTATTACAGCTCATGTTGGATGATTAATAGTAAAAAAGCGAAGTACTTATCGAAAAATTGGATAATTTGTTGTTTTTAAAAATAAAATTGGACTTGAATTTTATTATTTTCGACTTTTGTTATATTACCTATAATTTTAAATAATAGACCATGAAATCGAATCATGTGCCAATTGAACTATTGGATGTGCAATGAATCAGTTTGAAAAAAAGTAGTCCATTACCTTTGAGATTTACTATGTAATGAATAATAATTTCATAAATGTAAAATATTATATAAACACAACGATTTTAAATACATTATATTCATATTACCAGATTGAATGGCAAATACAGTTAGAATACGAATTATTGTACACAAAAGCTTCACTATATAAATATGTATTCTTGTTATTTACTCAACGTGTCATAAAAACATTTTAGAGTCAATTATGTAAAATATATGATTAAACAAAATTGTT